TGTGTGTGTGTGTGTGTGTGTGTGTGTGTGTGTGTTTGTGCATGTTCACATATGTGCTGTGCATGAATGTTGAATTCACAGGACAACTTGTGCGAGTTCTCTTTTTCTACCATGTAGCAACTGGGGATTATGTCATCAGGCTTGGTGGCAAGCACTTACACCCACTGAACCAATTTGTCATTCCCTGCTAAAGTCTTTTGTGGGATTAATGTTACTTTTTGGGCTACTTTGACGTAAAGCATCTATAATAGTTGTAATGAATACTTTTTGTTGGCTTTCTTTTTTACAGGTGTTGGAAGTCAATAGGTATTCTGGATCTCTCATTGTTTAGATAAGAACATTAAATTAAAATGTTCCTGATGCCAACCTCTTCAGAATTAAACAGTGGGCAGGACTTTCTAACCCAGTGGATGACCAGTCCTTCTCGGGCTGGGGTCATAGTAAATCAAGGATTTCCTATTCTGGAAGCAGACGAGAAGCAAGCAGCGACAAATGTTTCCACCAGCTTCCCTGTTAAAGCCATCCACTTTTCGAATAGCTTCAGCATTAGTAGTGAAGAAGATTCATTTCGTGAAGAACAGAAGTTGGAGGCTGGAGGACCTTATAAACTACATTCAGAAAACTCTGATGCTCACATAGTCTTTCCTTTAATTAAAAAGGAACCAACATTGACATGTCAGGATACCCCTGGATATCAGGAGGATAACAAAAATGACTTTATGCCTGATCTTGCGAGTGAACTCAAAGAAGTGGCTAATAAAAACCCGCTTTTTAAAAAACTAGAACAGGTAGGTTGGCCTCAGGTATTTGTATTGTTATAGGCATTGAATGATTGGTCATCTTGCTTCCTCTTTACTCTGAATTCTCAAAATCCCACAATTTTGTTTTCTAATGTGAAATGTTAAGGTATGTTTGGTATAAATATACATCTACAGAACGTAGCAATTAAGATAAATTCATGGTTTTAAATTGCTCCATCATTTGGTAAAAGTGAAGTTAGAAATGGCTGTTTAAGCTAGGCATGGTGGCATAGGCCTGTAATCCCAGAGGCAGAGGCAGGTTGATCTCTGTGAGTTCAAGGCCAGCCTGTTCTACAAAGCGAGTCCAGGACAGCCAGGGCTACACAGAGAAACCCCATCTCTTAAAAAAAAAAAAAAAAAAATTGAAAAGAATGGGTTGATCAAATATTAGAAAGTAGTTCTATCCTGGAATATTCTTAGAAGACTCAAAGGAGTTGCTCCCCCTATATTTTATTTGAGATACTGACATGACTTACTTTAGAAGAAATGAAATTTGAGTGTTTTCGTAGCAGATTTTATTGATTGGGGGTCTTTCTCTGAGATTGTTTACCAGGGAGAATGAAGGTAAGGTAGATGGTAAGCCGTGTCAGAAAGTGTAATCCAACTTTGATTTCACACTTACAAAGCTGAAAGAACTACAGCAAAAGAAGCAGGAGCAACTGAAGAGGCAGCAGCTGGAGCAACTGCAGAGGCTCATGGAGGAGCAAGAGAAGCTGCTCGTCATGGTGTCTGGGCAGCACGTGTTTCCAGGTACGATCTGCCTACACACAGCCATCAGCAATACAAGGAGACAGGTCGCACGTGCTTCTCACCTTTAATTGTTTGGTTTTTTTCTACGCTCCTCTGTATAGAATGATGGAGTAATAACACTGTGCCCAGAGAGGTGCGCCAGCAGTGTGGAGTGTATGTGTCATACTTAAAGGCATTCTCATAGTTGCATGGTGCTGGGGGCTGAGTAGGGCCTTACACATGCTCAGCATGTGCTCACTGAGCTACATCCCCAGCTAGTACTCATTGATTTGGGGGTAAAAAAAAAACTTAGTAGAAGGAACACTAAGTTATATACAGAGTTACTGGTAACCAGTTGCTGGCTGGTGCATGGAAACTATGCAGGGCTACAGGGGTAAACTGCCTGGCTGGAAGCGCTGTGTGTTCTAGGGTAGTAGGTGCCAGTGTTCTCTTGTGTGCTGCATCTGTTAACAGAAAGCATCAGGAGCTTACTGGAGAAAACAGTGTTGAAATCTGATCTGCAGCAGTGGTTTGAAAGCTTCTCTGACCACATAATAACAAAGACATTTTCAGTCCTGGTTCAGGACAAGCAAATTCCATATTGTTTGTGCTTATTACTATGCCTGGTGTGAGTACCAGGGATGTTTTCTGTTTTGCCTGTGTCTCCGAAATGCTGAGACTACAGGTGTAGAACACCTATGCTGTTTATTCAGTATTGGAGACTGAACCCAGGGCTTCGTGCATGCCACGCAAATACTCTTATCAGTTGGCTATCCCCAGCCCTACTCGTGTAAATTTTCATCTGAGAATAACAGTCAGTAGATTGTTTCATAAATTGTAAGCAGTGATTGCTTCTTGGCACTACCCTATGAGAGACATACTTCAGAGGTTCAGGAAGGGCCTTTTCTGTTCCGTGACCATGCTGGACACTGAGAGTACAGAGAAGACATTGGCAGTAAGTGTGTTAAATGACGGTGTCAAGGGTGGCTGGGTAGAAGAGTGGGTGGTGTGTGTGTATATATATGTGTGTGTGTGTGTGTGTGTGTGTGTGTGTGTGTGTGTGTGTGTGT